TATTCTGTATGCTGAAAATGTGAGAAAATATTAGTAGAATAGATGTACGTAGAATGTAGTTACGTCTCTTAGTCTAGGGTTCTTCATGTGAGTACCTGAAAGTTGTTTGTTCCAGATACCTACAAAAGTGTTTAAAATAAAAGAGTGAAATACGAAAGTAGATATTACTGCCCGGATTGAATATGATGGTCGAAAATATATTTTTTTAATTTTAATCAGTGCCGTCTCAAATGAGATTTTAGCAAAATTTTAATCTAACTTTTTTGTATCTGGATATTTCCACTATTTATATTTTATACAATTTTACAGTATAATATGCTTGTAACATTTTGAAGGGTAGCGTCGTTTGGGAGTAAAATTGATTACAACATGTTAGCTCTAAATTATAAACCACTTAATTATTGTGTGATATTTATTAATCATGGAAAAACAAATTATTTCACTAGTAAAAATAAAAAAGAGTTTATAAAACAAGAATACACGGAGACAATGTTTGATTGGGATAATAATTCACTTCATTCTTCTATTACCTACAAATAAATAATTTTTTTTTAAATTTCGTTACATTAAACATATTTGTCTAAAAACTTATTTATTTGGTATAAGTAGTACGGTCGCCCAAAAAAAAACGAATATTCTTTTTCGTGTATCTTGTGAAAATATGTTAGTTTATCATGTTTTAAGAGACCCCTAAAAAAATCAGCTCAAAAAAAATTTTTTTAGAGGTCGCTCAAGATTTTTAAATATTTCCAAAATTAACTTTCAAAGTAGTGTACTATGTTTTCGAGCGACCTTTAAAAATAAATATCAACGAACTTTTTATTGAATTTGATGAACAAAAGAATAGAAATAAATCACGAGACACTTAAATTTTAAAAAATTAAAAAATTATAAATATTTGATACAGTGCGGTAGTAAATTTTGCCTCGAGAAATTTTTTAAGTGTCTCGTGTCTCTTTTGTTCATTAAATTCAATTTTTAGAGGTCGCTCGAAAACATTTTAGGTACACTACATTTAAAGTTAAATAATTATGAGTGACCTTTAGAAATTAAAATATCGATTTGAAATTTTCAGAATCCAGATTTTTTTCAACCTAGAAAATGATAAAATAACGAGAAAAAAAATTCAATTTTTGGCGATTTTGGAAATTTTCAAAAATCTCCTTTAATCCATTTGATTTTAAATTAGCATTACAAATACAAACACCTACATGCAATTAAAAATAATACAATTTTCATGCTGGAATATAAAATATTTAAGTGATTTAGTTTTATTAGTGCTCAAATATTATTTAGATCTCCGATGCACTTTACTAGACAACAAAGAAACAGTAACATAAGTAAGTTATAGTTAAAGTTAAAACCGTAAATATAAATTTCTCTTACACGATGTAATGGAGATACCTATATAGGTCAGAAGGTTCATATATCAAAATTAAATTTGACAGAATTTCAGAGCTTTTCCTTTACGTGAGCACAATATAATGTAAAACACTTGCTATCTTTACTGACACAGAAGGGCTCTGGTATATACATACATACATACGTTTTTTGAATTTTACCATTTGACATAATAGTCATATTATATATAAACTAAACTGTGTCTTCCTTCATATAGTCCAGATAAACATTCCTTTTACTAAATAAATATTTGCTTACAAAGATCGGTATTAGATCTTCACCACAGGTTTGTTGATATATGAAAGTATGTTTATCTTCCATTTAGATATGTATATTATTATTATTATTCGTGCATTACACACGCCATATTACAAGAAAAGTCATGGGTCTATAATTTATAACTTTAACAAAATATATGAAATATGAACTTATAAATGACTGGTAAATGAACTAATAAAAATTTAAATAAGGAGAAGTGTTAATATTTTCAATGGTATCAAGAGCTCAATTCTCTAAATTAGTTTTCCCTAAAATCCTACATCTTAAATACAGATAAATATTCATTTAATATGTTTTACCGAATTTATCGTAAATTCACCGTAAATATATTTTGCTTTTATAACACTTTTTTATAAAACAATAAATTTGAAATTGAATTGATTTGATCATGCTTTTGTATTAAGTTTCACTAATATTAATTAATAATTAAGTATAAGTAGGTACTTTTGAAGATCTGCTTTGTTTTTTAAATACCTACTAAAATATTTTATTCGATTCTACATACATAAGACCACTATTAGGTTCTTGACTTGAACTTGACTTGATCTGAAGTAGTTTGAATATTAAAACTAGCTGTGAATTATTAATCTTGGCATAACAACATAATAGGAGGATGTTTACGAACCTGGAAATTTATTTTTAATGGGTGTTGATAAAAGAAGGTGATTGCTTAACATTTATTTTAGTAAAAGTTGTTTAAAAATGACAGAAAAGTACAATTGTTTGCGTTAAAATTAGTTATTTCTTAACTATCACTCTCACGCATCTAAGAGTCTCATTTGCTTTTGTATTAATCCAGTGTAGATAAAACTGTAATAATCGAGTGTTGCTGATCTAATCTGGTCTAATCGTGTAGTACTCGTATAGAATATATTGAGAGAGGAGGAGAAATCTCTCCGTTTCATGTCCGCGCTCTGTGTACAAATTTTCAACATTGCATGTCGATTAATATTTTAGCAATGTTTTAGGGCAACTTTTTGTTAAACTGTTACCTAAATGTAGGTTATTTGACGAAGTTCTTTTCGGTGTATGCTAGGAAGTGTATTGTTTACGTGTTACGTTACGTGTTTATGTATGATGGAGCTCCACTTTGTTACTCCCGATCTGTATACAAGGTGATTTAGTCATAATGTCATTAATTTTAAAAGGAGATAGGGAAAATGAGTAGATTCAATACGCGTTTAAAAAATTTTTAAAATGTATATTTACGCTAAAAAAAAATTTTCAAATAATTATTTAAACTCCTTTTCGGACCGCTCCTGACAGCTGACCTATAAGCTTTACCAAAAGTGAATCTTGGCCTACCGTAACATTCGGTCATTAACCTAGCCATTAATACGTTGTTAATCTGTAGTTAGCTACAACGAATAAATAAAACCTTTTAGCCAGACATAATATGAATGAATAATATTTTTTTACATTTTAAATATTAACAAATAATTATCTATTTGTTAATAAAAACAAATGTATAAGGATAATAATTGTTTTCGATGTTAGTTTATACAATTTAGTATTTTTAAGATTGTTAACGTATTTACTACGTTTTATAACTGAATATGCGTTTTTAGTATTACATATGTTCCATTAATTATTCAATTTGTAGCACGTATACCTTATTATATGACTTATTGTGTTTCAATGATTATGATACCTACCTAATTAAAATGATACTACGGCTAAAAAAATACTCACTCATACGTGTATAGCTTTATTATAACAGTTTTAAGATACGTTTCACTTTAGTCTTGAAACCAGTTGCAAAATTCTAAACGACTGGGTAAAAAATCAGCTGTTTCGCTTCAATTTTCGAACGCTCTAAGTCCACCGGCCCGTTCCGTATTGTGAAGTAGGGTGGCGAATGTGCAAAACCATACTTATCGTATCAACTTCGACGTCACCTGTTACATGAGTGTTGTATAATAACGAAAATGTAATATGGACAGTTGGTAGAAGGAAGCGCAAAAACAAGCGCTTATAGGTGGGGATTTCTGGAAGGAAGCCTAGTTAGTTGAAGTGAGAACAGTGTGGAGATGGGTAGTAAGACGATCGGCGGGCAGTGTGACAAAATAGTGAAAAATAAAAAGTGTTTAACCGGCATTAGTTAGCAGCTAATTATTCTCTAAGTACTTTGCTGTTAATTGTTCTATGTAATCTTATGATTATAGATGTTTCATGATAAAAATTCTGTATATGTTTAGCCTTCATTGTTTTATGCTCAGGAGCGTATATTTTTCTAAGATAAAATTGTTACATTTATTATTAAAGATTGCTCATCATTTATTACATTTTAAAATATGTATATATTGTCGTGACTGCCCAGATATTGCAATAACAACTCCTTTGTTTCACATTTAACTTGTTTTATCATGATTACGTTGTTCTTTGATTTCTTGTTCTCACTTTATGTCATACGCATATAAGAGCCCTGTTGAATTTACTAACATTTTCGCCCGTGAGGAATGAATCTGTAAAAAGAATAATTGAATAAACANTCAATTTGTAGCACGTATACCTTATTATATGACTTATTGTGTATCAATGATTATGATACCTACCTAATTAAAATGATACTACGGCTAAAAAAATACTCACTCATTCGTCTATAGCTTTACTATAAAAGTTTTAAGATACGTTTCACTTTAATCTTGAAACCAGTTGCAAAATTCTAAACGACTGGGTAAAAAATCTGCTGTTTCGCTTCAATTTTCGAACGCTCTAAGTCCACCGGACCGTTCCGTATTGTGAAGTAAGGTAGCGAATTAACGGGAGTTAAGGGGTAATTTGCTTATTTTTTAAAAGTATTTTTTGTCGATTTTCTGTCTTTATTAGGCCCTCCGAATACGTAGTTAAAATTAATAACGTTATGACTGAATCACCCTGTATATTACATTTCCTGATAGGCTGTTAGGATGCGATGATCCGGTTCCATTACCTTCTCGTTCTCCGTTGACAAAGGAGGTGGCAACATTGAACATTCGCTGTAACGTATCATGTGAGAATACGTTGTGTCACCAATAACTTCCTACCTTTTGTTAATTAAGGGCGGTATTTATTTATTCTTTTCTTTACTTTTTACTTCATATTGTTTAATATAACAGAATATAGTTATTTCTAAACAATAATTTTCAAATTTGATACAGCAATAAATTACATTATCATATAATTTTTTGAATAAAAATTTCTGGATCATCGTAATCCTGTAATAATAAAAATTTATTTTTTCATATTTGTTTTCTCTTAGTTTTGTCTTCTACTACATCTAAATACTGATATACTGATACATTTTTATCAGAATCTCTATTTTTCACTATTACTTTCAGGTATAAAGGAATTCAGAGAACAGGATGCATACTAGTATGGCCAGATGAGAAAATAATTGGTTCGAAGTATGACTTTTGGTATGTATAAAATTTTCTTATTATTATGTGAGTCTTTTTCTGGCTAAATATATAAAACTATCGGTGTAGTATTGAAACCCAATTATAAAATATATTTTGCCTCTGTTGTTGCACGTAAAGTTGCTCTTACTGTATATTCCAATGATTCCAATGAAAGTTTATTAACATTTTTTCAGAATGTATACATATACCTACTTTCATTTATTTTAATTTTTTTTAAGACAATAATAGATTATCAAATCAAGCGCTAAAACTGAAATGGTAGTTTAGCAGCAAATCATTTCAAACAGTAGGTATTATCGCAATCTATTCCCTCTGTAGTTTTAACATGAACTTTTTTTTATTCTGTTATTGTTTACAATATATTTTACACTGTCGTGTTATCTTTAGAGTGTAGAAATAACACTGTAGATACGTAAATTCAGCACGGGAGAAAATTACAGTAACATTGTAGAAAATATTACTGATTACAATTTGTGTCATTCGTTTATAAAAAATGGTGCTTAGAGTATTGACTCTTTACTAAAATTTTCTGAAATTACTTTCTATTTTGTTAAAATATACACAGAACTGTATTAAATAACTACTAACGAAATCGTTCAGATTTTTATGAAAATATACAGACTGTTTACTATAAAAGAGCCACTCCTATGTATCTCGCTTAATACACGATGCACGTCAAAAATCTTTATATGTTTATTGTCGCACTTTTTGAGACCTTGATGCTTGTAAAAACAAATTTCAGATTCATGGCTAACTTTATAAGTAATCATAAAAAAAATGAAAAACTGCCGAAAGTTGAGGGCCGTCTAACTTTTTACAAATTTAGCCATGGATTTTAAATTTGTTTTTACGAGCATAAAGGCCTCAAAAAATGTAACAAAAAAACATATTAAGATTTTTGACGTGCGTCGTATATTAAGCGAGATACATGGGAGTGGCCCTCTTACAGTAGACAACCTGTATAGTATGTATGTAGTTTTCCTACAATACTACTGTATAAACTTTCTAAAATACTTTTGTAAATAACACATTTTATAAAAGTACCTTGCGATCGTATCAAATATCAGTATTTCATTTCGACGATAAGTGGTGAATGGAGAGGGTACATCTCTTGATCTTGTAGGTAGAGACATTTAGACTGGATTCTCACCCTGGTTAGCACACTCAGTATCTTGTCAGTATGAGGATGTGCGAGAGAGAGAGGCAGAAGCCACAGCAGTGCTGAGGCCATCATTGACTACAATATTAAAATTTAAAAGAATCAGCTTCAAAGCCAGTCCCCAAAACAAAGAAAACACTAGAAATATTATTATAACTTATAATATAAAGAGTGATTCATTAACTGCACGGGGCGGCTGTACATAGGAAACTAGACGTACTACGATTATGGGGTAAACAATCTATTAACAAATACGGCCAAAAGAAATGATATAAAATATTTTCAAGTTTGTAACTTCACCGCTAAAGAGCACAACTGCTATAGTGTTTAATTACTGTTTGTTTATATGTACTACTAAAAACAGATCGACAGAAAATTTTGATGTCTAACACCAAAGTTTCACACCCGTGAATAATATAAGACGAAGAACTTTCAACGCATTTCTTCATAGTTAAATACATATATCCTTAATATAAGAGTTTCTATAACCATATTCTTGAAAATATTTGTTCTATATACGAATATAATACACAGACAAACTGATATAAATTATAGCATTCAATAAAACTTTACTACGATAGCATATTTTTTTATAAACCACTTTCTTCCGTGAATCATTTTTCAAAAATAGTTTTATGGCAGATAACCTTAAAATTCATATGCTAGTCCTATTGTATTCTAAATTCTAAAAACGTATGAATTTTAGTACTGGCCTTTTAATATGCCATCTAAACTAAAAAAAAATTATTGCGGTCACTCTAATACGACTATGACGTCCAGAGCATCAGGTTTGGTAATATTTTGATTGCCTATAGAAAGAAATTTTTATCGAAGTGTTCTAAAAAAGGGTATGGAATAAAACGTTTCTAGGGATAAAGGATATGTAGCTACGTTCACTGGTACCTAAAAGATCTTTACGTGACTTCAAAATATGACCGCATCCGAGACATGGGAAATATTCATCTTAGCATCTCCGCTCCAGGGGCCTTTTGCCAATATTTACAGTTATTTTTCACCATTCTATCCCTCTCAGCGTGAATCTTTCAGTCCCAGTTGGTTTGTATTCCAAGTTGTTTAAAATCCTTGTATCCTGTGCTCTTTAAGAACTCTCCGGTAGAGTAGCAAAAGTTGATTTTCTCATATCCATTCATCTTATTTCATATTTTATACGAAATTTATTGAATATCTTTTGCACACACAATAACTTCGAATTATAATTAATTAGAACATTTGTCCTCTTAATACACCTTAACTGTAAATGATGTTTTTCGTACCTCAACTATACGAAGGTATATGTTTGTCGCTATGATTTAATTTTTTAATCTTTATAGCACTGGATATAAATGCTCAACGTTCAGGGTGATAACTGATAATGTACCTGTATCTAATCTTGGTCTTATTATAACAAGTTTTAACAGATGGCACACATTAAAAAGAAGATACAACTATAGCTCGTTGAGGCCGCAAGGTGCTGAAAATGGAAAAGTATAAATTACTTTAATATCTCTGTCCTGAATTTTCTCCCTATATTCTCAGGATCAATAGTATACAGGGTGGTCCGAATTTTATGCAGGAAACTTCGAGGGCAGATAGATCTCTTTAAAATAGTAGGTGTTTGCCTTATAAACATAGGTCTGGTACGGCCTTGCTTCGTCGTGATTTTCCTAATATTGTTTCAATCCAAAAAGATGAAAGCGATGAGTGTAAAGAAGTTTGTTGATCTGCTTACTTTTAAGCATAAACATAAATATTGTAATATTATATGGTTAGAAGTGTCTGCCACAAGGGGATTGCATTGGTATGAATAACTAGAGAATGGTGAACCTTAAGGAAAAAATTCAAGTCACCTTTTTTACGTATTTAGTGCATTAGAATATAAATCCGTTACAATAACTTGTAAAAAATACAGTGGCGTTTTTTTAAAAAGGGGTAACCACTAACCACTGTCCAGTTGTACACCACTGGTTAAACCGTTACAGCTCATATTTTAGGGAATGCAAGGCTTACTATCATACATTGTTTGTACCAAATTTTATTGAGATCAATTAATAGATTCCTGAGATATAAACAAAAAATCTTTTTTTTTNGTGAAAAGAAAATCTTTATTTTGTTTAAAAGAAGTATATTATATTTATTAAATTGTTTGTAGTTGACGTGTCTACAATTTCTACGTTAACACGAAATTGTTTGCATTTTTTATACCAAAATTGTAAAAAATGTAATAAATATAAAAGATCCAGGCAACATGTAGTGTATCGCATGAAAGAGGAAAAAACAAGCAATTTTTTCGATGACAATTTTTTTTTTGCCCGCGTGGAGGGCGTAACAAATTACATACGATATTTTAAAAATCTGTTTAAACTAGGTGAAATTTTGCCATGAAATTTTATTAAAATAAGTTTTCTCTATGTCTTAAAATAAAAATGTTAGACGACCCTAGTCTTTCGGTAGGTACTTTTCCGGTTTTTTTTATGATTACTCATAAAGTTGGCCATGGATATCAAATTTGGTTTTACGAAATCCATAGGAATGAATAGTAATAACCTGTATAGTATGTAGTTTTTCTACAATATTACTGTATAAACTTTCTAAAATACTTTTGTAAATTACACAGTTTATACAAATATCACAGCTATATCTTGCGGTCGTATCGAATATCTGTATTTCATTTCGGCGATATGTGGTGAATGGAGAGGGCATAGCTCTTGATCTTATAGGTAGAGACATCTAGACTGGATCCTCACCCTGGTTAGTACACACAATCATCACAAACTTTACAAGTTTCTTGTCACTTGTCAGTATGATGATGTCCGAGAAAGAGGCAGGCTGAGGCCATCACTGACTACAGTATTAAAATTTAAAAGAAACAGTTTTGAAGACAGTCCTCAAAACACATTTAGAAAACAGTAGAAATATTATATCTTCTTATATACAGGGTGATCCATTAACGGTACGGAGCGGCTGTATATAGAAAACTGGACGTGCTACGATTATGGGGTTAAAAAATCTATTAACAAATACGGCCGAAAGAAATTGATATAAAATATTTTCAAGTTTGTAACTTCACCGCTGGAGAACGCAACTGCTATAGAGTTAACTTACTGTTTACATCTGCTACTAAAAACAAATCGACAGAAAATTTTGACGTCTAACACCAAAGTTTTGCACGCGTGAATAATATAATAAAGTCGTAGAAGCTTGTAATAAAGAAATTTCAGCCCATTTCTTCATAGTTAAATACATATATCCTTAATATAAATGTTTCTATAACCGTATTCGTGAAAATATTTTTTCTATATACGAATATAATACACAAACAAACTGTATAAATTATAGCATTCAATAAAACTTTACTACGATAGCATATTTTTTTATAAACCACTTTCTTCCGTGAAGCATTTTTCAAAAATAGTTGCATTATTTACAGATAATCTTAAAATTCATATGCTAGTCCTATTGTATTCTAAATTCTAAAAACGTATGAATTTTAGTACTGGCCTTTTAATATGCCATCTAAACTAAAAAAAAATTATTGCGGTCACTCTAATACGACTATGACGTCCAGAGCATCAGGTTTGGTAATATTTTGATTGCCTATAGAAAGAAATTTTTATCGAAGTGTTCTAAAAAAGGGTATGGAATAAAACGTTTCTAGGGATAAAGGATATGTAGCTACGTTCACTGGTGCCTAAAAGATCTTTACGTGACTTCAAAATATGACCGCATCCGAGACATGGGAAATATTCATCTTAGCATCTCCGCTCCAGGGACCTTTTGCCAATATTTACAGTTATTTTTCACCATTCTATCCCTCTCAGCGTGAATCTTTCAGTCCCAG